CAGCTGGAGCCGGGCACAGCTGAATCCCTGCACAGCTGGATCCCAGCACAGCTGGATCCCGGCACACCTGGATCCCAGCACAGCTGGATCCCTGCACAGCTGGATCCCAGCACAGCTAGATCCCGGCACAGCTGGATCCCGGCACAGCTGGATCCCGGCACAGCTGGTGCCAGAGGCTCCAGGGCTGCGCTGGGTTTTCCTCTGCCTTTGGTGCCCCCCAGCTCTGCCCCCTCCCCGTCCTGTCTCCTTTTTGTTAATTTTAAGAATAATTAAATAAGTTAATAATTTAATTTTAAGAAAAAGTTAATTTTAAGAATAATTAAACATCCTTTATTAGCAGGCCCAAAGCTGATCAGGACCTAAAGACACCTTAAATTTTAATGAGAGGCTCCACCGGCATTCCTGGAGCTCTGGATTATGTCAGGGCAGAATTTGCTTCTCTGGATTTCTTTCCACAGCTGCCAAATTTTACCTAAAGGAGGCAAAAGCTCCCTCCCAGCACCAGGAATCCAAACCCATGGGAATGGTCTGGGCATTGGTGGAATAACTCGTGCAGCACCGACCCCCAGGCAGGCTGGGGGGAGCAGGGGTGGATCCATTCCCACCCCAAACCACATTCCGGGCTGATGGAATGGGCTCGATAATATTTCGATAATATTTGGGGTGAGGCAAGCGGTGTGAAATGAGGACTTTGCCAGTGCCCCTGGATTCCGGTTTTTTCCCCCCCTGAGGAATAAAGATGAATGAATTCTCGATGTTCTGGGGCAGCTGCGCCTCGTCCCCATCGGGGGAGGTGCTGATTGCCCCCATCAGCCCCCGGTTATCAGCGGGGAGGGCGCAGGGCTGGGCCAGGAGAGGGGAGCAGGAGCAGGTGGGAGCCCTTGTGGGGTGTGCAGGGATGGGGTTTTGGGGGCTGGATCCCGGATTTGCGGGGCTCTGAGCAGGAATCGGCTCCTGGGGGCGTGCGGGACCCTCTGTGCGCCGGGGAAGTCTGGAGTGAGACAGCGCCGGTCCTGGGGCTGTAAATCCCTCCCTGTGCCCCTTTGTGTCCCCCTTGTGTCCCCCTTGTGTCCCCCTTGTGTCCCCCTTGTGTCCCCCTTGTGTCCCCAGCGCCTCCGGGCCCTGCTGGCCCAAATGCGAGGTTTGGTGGCCCCGAGCGGAGCTGCTGGCACATGGGAGGTGCTGCTCTCCCTGCCCCGCTGCTCTGTCCCCAAATCCTCGGTTTTAGGGAATTCCTGCCCGTCCGTGGCTGTCCCCGGGGGATTGCTCATTCCAGGGCTGCACTGGGATCCTCTGGGATCCTCTGGGCGGGGGTTTGGGGGTGCAGAGCCCCGGTGGGGAACAGTTGTGATCCCATTGCTTCCCTGGGGAGCCTCTTCCCTGCTGGGATTTGGCTGCTCCCTGCACCCCTGGTGCCCAGAGCGGCTCCATGAGAAAGTTCTTTTTTCCCAGCGCTGTTCTCCAGCTCTCCTCCTCCTCCTCTCGCTGCCGGGTCCCGGGCTGGGGGCTCATCCCGGTGTCCTCCCGGGAGCAGCTGCCCGCGGTGGGAGCGGCTCTCTGTGCCCGGGGACGCCGAGGATTCACGGAGCAGAAGGGAAAGGGCTCCGTGTGGAGCTGGGGGCAGCTGCATTCCCTGATCCAGGAGCTGCTCCAGCCCTGGGATGAGCTGGGGGCTGGCAGGGGTTGTTCCCGTGGATTCTCCAGCCCTGGGATGAGCTGGGATACTCTGGATTCTCATGGAATGCTTTCCTGCCCAAAGCCCAAGGTGGGGCTGCCCCAGGAGCGTTTGGGGTTCAGCCTCCCGGGTGCTGCCACGGGATTTTCAGGACCTGGAATTTCAGGATTGGTCCCCTCTGTGCCCTCCTGAGCTCGTGGAGGGATGGGGGAGCTGCTCCTGGGGGTTCTCCCTGAGCCCATCCTCCTTCCCTGCCTTCCCCCTTGGAGGAGGGAATCCTGTAAATCAGGGAGAGCTCAGAGCCCCTTGCAGGGCCTGAAGGGGCTCCAGGAGAGCTGGAGAGGGACTGGGGACAAGGCCTGCAGGGACAGGACACAGGGAATGGCTGCCAGTGCCAGAGGGCAGGGCTGGATGGGATCTTGGGCAGGAATTGTTCCCTGGCAGGGTGGGCAGGCCCTGGGATAGAATTCCCAGAGCAGCTGGGGCTGCCCCTGGATCCCTGGCAGTGCCCAAGGCCAGGCTGGATGGGTTTGGAGCAGCCTGGGACACTGGGAGCTGTCCCTGTCCTTGTCTCCTCTAATCCCAGCTTTATAGGGAAGGATGCCAAAGGCTGAACTTCCCGGGAAATCCCATCCTGCTGTGCCCAGGCCAGGGGATCCAGGCTGGGGCCGCAGCTCCGGCCTCTCCCAGCTCATTCCTTCGGGAGCCATCCAGGTTTAATTCCAGCCCATCCAAAGGGGCGTGGGGCGGTGAGAACAACCCCTGGCCGCTCCTAATGCCGGGATTTGCCAGGGCCACGTCCTGCCCGAGGCTGAGGATTGGGGTTTTATTTAGCAAATCCCATTGCGGCTCCGGGGCCGGGCTGTCACATGGAGCTGGGGCTGACTCTGCCGGGAGATGAGTAATGCGCTCCGTGACTCACTTGCTGCCTTCGCTTTTATTTTTTTTATTTGGATTTCTTTTTTTTTATTATTATTTTTTTTATAATCTTCAGGCCTCTCGCCTTCATCTGCTGCCGGCGGCTCCCGGCGCGTCTCCTTCGGGAGCGGCCGGAGATTTCCAGCGCTTTTCACGGGAATTGTCCGAGGCAGTTTGGAAGTGAAATTGCGGAGTTTGGGAGTGGTTTTGGCTCGGGAAGGGGCGTTTGGTGCCTCCTCCCCAGGGAGGTGGGAACGCTCCAGCGGGACCCGGCTCTCCCTGCGCCCGCCTGGTTTTGGGATGAGCCCGCTCCAGGAGCGGCTCTGGGGTGTCCTTGGGGTGGGGCTGATTTTGGGGGGTTTTGGCCTCGTCTCGTGGCAGGAGGAGCCTCACAAGGCTGAGATATCCCAGGGGAAAGCTGGGATGGATGAGCAGCAGCCAAAGGATTCCCAGGAGTGATGGAGAGGGGGTGCTGCCCAAACCCAGCGCTGAAACGGGAAAAATTTGGAAAGATTTTTTTATCCATGGCCTGGGAAGGGATTGGCAGGGATATCCTGGCTCTCCCCGTCTGCTGAAGGAATCTCAACCCTCAGGAGCCGTGGGGAGGGGGCTCTGCCCTGGATGGCCCCGAGCCGCAGGATGGGGGATCCCAAAATCCCCAGATTTCCGTTTGGAAGGACCCCAAAGCTCATCCCATTCCCGCTTTCCCTTAGGATTGCTCCAGACCCTGTCCCAGGGATGGGAATTCTGGAGCCTCCGTGAATTTTGGGAGGGATTGGTGCTGTTTTGGTGCAGCCAGGAGGAATTTGGGCAATTTGGAAGTTGCCTGCCCATCACCGAGTGCCAGCCTGGGCGGAGGGGACAGAGGAACATTCCAGGGGTTGTGCCCAGCCTGGGATTACAAGCGGAATTCCCTTGGCTGTGCTGGAAGCGGGGCAGGCAGGTCACAGGAGCTCCTGTGGGATTAAAGGAACCATCTGCTCAATAATCCCATCCCTGTGGCATTTCCCACCAGCTGGGCCCTGCTGAGCTCCTGTTCCCTCCCTGATTTATCCAGACCCTCGGAGGAGGCGCTTGGCTTTTGGATTAATATTTTTAACGGGAGTGGGAAAAAAAAAAATGTTGGGTTTTTTTGTTCTTTTTTTTTTCTTTCTTACTAGAAAAATTACATTTTAACGGGGCAAAAAAAAATTGATTTTCATTCATGAAAACCACTTTTTTGTTTGTTTGTTTGGGTTTGTTTTGTTTTGTTTTGTTTCGGATGGGAGAAATGATGCGGGTGTTGCTCCCGAGCAGGGAGAAATCCTGAGGAGCAGGTGGGGCTGCGGGGATGACCCCAAAGATGCTGATGCGGGGTGAGCGGTACAAGGGAAGTTTTTCCATCCCCGCTCGGCGCTCACGTTGAAAAACCACCCCGGGCAGCGCGGGTTGTCCCCAAAACTGCGCTGTTGTGCCCTGGAGGGGACAGGAGGGGCAGGAGCGGCTCCTCCGCGGGAGCTCACGGAGCCAATCCCGGCTTTTGGGGGGGTTTGGATGCCGGGAAGGAGCCGGGATGAGGATCCTGGAGAAGCCTGGGAGGGTTTGAGCACCTTTCCTGCCACGGGATAAAAAATAACCGGACTTTGGGAGCTTCCCAGCCGAATCTGGAGGGTCGGCTTTAAATCCCGGTTTTTTGGATAAAACAGGAGCGATGCCGATAATTCAGGCTGAGCCTCCCCCCGCAGTGGGAACAGGTTGGGAAGGGGGTGAGGGACCCACAAATCCCCGGGGGGCTCTTCCAGGGGGAAACGGTGCTGGGGGTGACATCGGGGGGGACACGGGACAGGGTGGCACCATGGGGACACAGGACACGGTGACATCCCGGGGGGGACACAGGACAGGGTGGCACCATGGGGACACAGGACACGGTGACATCCCGGGGGGGACACGGGCACAGCGCGGCCCCAGCGCTCGCAGCCCCCCCGCTCCTCCCCTCCGCCTCTTTTGTTCCCCGCTCCGCTTTTCCTTCATGCCAGATTAATTCCCGGGCGCTGCTGGAAGCAGTCGGGGAGAAATTCCTCCCGCATCCTCCTTTCGGGGCTAATTGCTGGCGCCGTGACGTCAGCGATGGATTTATCCCTGGGATGGCTGGGAGAGGCTCCCAGGAGGGCCCGAGCTCTCATCCCCGCGCTCTCACCCCGCTCCTCTCCCTTTTCCAGCCGGGATTGATCCCTTTCCCCCCATTCCCAGCCCCGCGCGCTCCTAATCTGACAGCGGCCGGGAATTAATCGTGCTGGCCGCAATAGGATTAAGGGAGGGGAAGTGCGTCACGAGGTGCGGACAGGGGTTCTGCTTTTGGGGAGGGTGGAAAAAGGGGTGGGAAAAAAAAAAAATTAAAGAAAATCTGGGAAATAGGTTGGAGTGTTCCCGGGGGGTGTGTCGGGAGCGAGCGCGCATGTGAGGAGTGCGGGGCGGGAGGCAGCGAGCCCGCCTCGTCCTCCCTTTCTCCGAGCATCCTCCGCGATGCCATCCTGGAGGTGATACAGGCGCAGCAGCATCCATGGCCTGCCCCTAGCCGCGGCATTCCCGGCTCTTCCTCCTCCTCCTCCTCATCCTCCCCGCCGCCCGGGAAGCGCCGAGGCCGAGCTGAGAGGGACCCGCGTTCTCCTGTGGTTTTTTCTTTCCAGGCTCCTCGGGGATTGAGGAATGCAATTCTGCCACCATGATGGAAGGTGGGTGATGAGCCGGGCGCGTTCTCCCGGCTTTGGGAAGGAGGAGGAGCCGATCCCGCGCCCGGGCTGGTCGGGGAGGGGGGGGTTTGATCCTTTCCTAAATAAAATAATAATAATAATAATTAATAATGGAACGGAATCCTCCCCTCCCCCTAATCCCGGGCAATTCCAGCGGCAGGGTGGTGGTGATATAATATCGAGCCCGTGCGATTATTTGCAATTCCATCCCCAGCCCTGTGCGGGCGGCTCGGGCTGGGCAAATTCCCGGTTTTCCATGGAGCCGCCGCTTCCCCCAGCCCAGAGCCGGCTGGATCCGTCGGGATTCAGATCCCGAAATGATTATTTGATGCCGCGCAGAGGATGGAGCCGGGGGTGTGCAGCTGACAGATGGGATCCGGTGCTTTTCCCTGGATGGATGAGCCGCGTTTCGGGGGGAAAAGAGGAAAAATTGGAACTGGAGATGATTTTTTTTGTTGTTGTTGTTTTTAAATTTATTTTTTTTCTTGCCGTGTCGTGGAGATGCCGGTCTGGGGAGGGAGGAGGAGATGTTGGATTGGGGTTTCTTGGCATAAAAAAATGGGAATGAGGAGGGAATACGGGCTCCAGGCACAGGATGCTTCAGGGAGCCGTGTCTGATCCTGTGTGGGAAAAGCCTCTGGGCATGACAGGAATTTTATCCTCTGTCGTCTGTCTCGGCCGTATGTAAAGCTCTCCTTTATTATTTATCATTTTAATTCCTCCTGGAGCAGGATGCAGGGAAAGGATGTCTTGGATTTAATTCTATTTTAGCAGAATGGCTGCTCCAGGCCTCACAAGAGCAAAATATATTGAATTTTGGGGGATTTCTGGCCCCTTGGTGGCAGCAGCAGGGCCTGGCTCGGTGGAGCCACTTCCAACCCATGGAGCTTTCCCGGGATGACAGGCAGAAATTGGGCTGCTTCCCGGATTATCCCTGAAATCTGGGGCTCCCCCCTGCCCAAATTCACCTGGAGAAGCCCCGGGATCCATGGAAATTTTATGGATTTAAGATATTTCCCCGATCCCGGGAATCCAGGCGTCGTCACGGCCGCGTGTGGCACATGGAATGGCCTTTCCCAGGACGGGGTTTGGACGATTGGGTGTGAAGGAAATGAGTTTTGTCATCCTTTGGATCCCAGGAAAAGCTTTCCCTGCTTTCCCTGGTGCTGACGAGAGTCACAAGCAAACGAGGTTTTAATTTTAGCCCATGACATCAAACCCATCCCACCACAGGGGCAGGTCACGGCAGGGAAAATGCCAATAAAAACCCGGCTTCTCCCAAAATCCCAACCTTTAGGGAGGAATTCATCTGGATGAATGGAAGTTGTCATGTTGTAGGCCTTGGTTTGAGTGATTTTATTCAGTTTTGAGGCTGCTCAGGGGAAGTAAATCGGGGTTTTGAGGCTCGTTTGGGGTTTTTTTGGGGTTGTTTTCATTCCTTGAGGATTTGGGCCTGGCAGGAGCTTTGGTCACTGGCCAGCCCCACGCTGGAGATGGATCCGGGGCTGTGGCCCATGGAATGGGAAGTGGAATCACCTTCCATGACCCAACCATGCATGGAGGGAAAAAAAAATGGGGAAAAAATTGAAATACTCTTGATAAAAAGTGAATTATTCAACAGCTCGAAAAGTTCCCCCAGTGGTTGATGCAAACCTAGAACAGAAGTTGGGAAATCTGGAATAATTCCTGGGGTTTTTGCGGGGTTTTTTGAGTTTTGAAGTAGTTGGAAATTGGTTGGATTTGTGGGAAGTGGAACTTCAAGATCCCACTGCAAGTCTGGCCCCTCGCAGGGGGTGGGGGGCTTGATTTATTAATATTATTTATTTATCTTTAATATTATTTAATATTATTTATATTTAATATTATTTATTCCTATTTAATATTTATTTCTATTTCATATCATTTATTTCCATTTAATATTTGTTTCTATTTAATATTTTCTGTTTATATTTAATATCATTTATTTCTATGTAATACCAATTTTCCTATTTAATATTTATTTCTATTTCATATCATTTATTTATATTTAATATAATTTATTCCTATTTAATATTTATTTCTATTTAATATAATTTGTTAATATTTAATATAATTTCTATTTCATATAATTTATTTCTATTTAATATTATTTATTCCTATTTAATATTTATTTCTATTTAATATAATTTGTTAATATTTAATATAATTTATATTTCATATAATTTATTTCTATTTAATATAATTTATTTCTAGTTAATATTATTTAATATTTCTATTTCTTCATTATTATTTCTTTATATTTAATATTATTGATTAAATAAATTTATTTAATGATATTTATTTAATATTAATTAGAATTAATTCAATGGTTTCAACAAACTTGGCTTAATTGGAGCTGAAACTTTTATACCTGCACAAAACACCGCGAGTTCCTTGCGGTGAGGGGTCTTAAAGGGGTTTAATTAGGGCTGTAATTAATTATTCCAATCACTTTTGGTGCTGGACATGAGCTGGAAGTGGTGGGTGGGGGGCGAGGACCCCCAGGACGCTCCTGGCTCAGGGATTCCTTTGGATTCCTTTTCCTTGGAAAAAGAGCGAATTCTCCTCGTGGGGAAGGGCGCGGGATGAGCGATTTTTGCTGGATACGGACGTTGTGCTCAAGAGATGGAATGTTTGGTCATTCCTCTGGGAATGGAAAAGTGTTTCTTGTTCATGGATATCCAAAAAAATGCCCAAAAAACCCCGAGTGTGGGAGATATTCCCAGAGCCCAGCCAAAGGTGTCTCCAGCAGTGGGAATTCCTCCCCCTCCACGGAGGGCTGGGACGATGGGGTGCAGGAACATCCCATGGATTTGCTGCTCTTGGCTTCGCTCAGCCCGGTGGGAAGCAGGGCTGGGATGGGGATTCAACCCCCCCGAGGTGCCTCAGGTGTGGGATGAGGGCTTTGGATGTTCCCTGGGGATTGTGAAACGCTCGGAAGCGCCCCGGGCGGGCGGCGGAGGTGAACGGCCGGGCACGGAACGGGTTGGACTCCTTTTGGAATCCTCTGCCGCATCTCCAGGGCGTTGGGAGGCTTCCATGAAGTTTGGGAATCGCTGCTCGGGGAGGAGCTCTGGGATGTCGGGAAGAGAGGAGCAGACGCGGTTCCTCCGGAGAAAGTCATTCCCGCTTTTCCTGCTCCCAGTGCTTCTCCAGACCCCAAAATGGGGGAGAAGCCTTCCCAGAGCGGGAATTTCTCGGAATTTCTTCAAACTGGGAAGTTTGGTCACTCGGGGAATTTCCATGGGAATGTTCTCTCCAGCTGGGAATAGTGGAAGGTGTCCATGCCCACGGCAGGGCTGGGATGAGATGGAATTTAAGGCCCCTCCCAACCCAAACCGGTCTGGGATTCTGCAATCACATCCAAACCGGGAGAATTTTCCTGGAATCTTCTTTTAGCCGTGGCCGTCTCCGTTTTCGGAATGCCAGAGCCATCGATGGAACATCCCAAAATTCCTCTGTGCTGATTGAAAACTGACTTGATTTGATTTTTGGGTGGTCTCGTCCCTGTAGATTTTGGTTGAACACGCTCAGTGCAGGACTTGGCGAGGAAATAATCCGGGAAAATTTGGGGGGTTGGATTTGAGGAGGGAAATTTGGGAGTCTGGATTTGAGGAGGGAAATTTGGGAGTCTGGATTTGAGGAGGGAAATTTGGGAGTCTGGATTTGAGGAGGGAAATTTGGGGGTTTGGATTTGGAATTTTCTGCAGAACTGGGAAGGAAACAACTTTCTTGGGATATAGGAGATTATTTTTTTCCCTCTTTTTCCATGGCCAGCCCAGGGAATGCTGAGCTTGATCCATGGATTTGGCTCCTCCCGTGTCCAAGGATGGGCTGAGGGTTGGGGACATCCCACCACTCTCCAGGCCAAAAATGTCCTTTAGGACTTTTGGGATATTTTGGGGGGGCTGATCCAGGTGGGTTTGAGCTCTCAAGGAGGAATTTTGTGGAAATGAAGCCTTGGAAGTGAAAAGTTTGGAAGAGAAAAAGCTCTGGAGCTCTCAGGTTTGGGGTTCAAAAATAAAAAAGGCAAAACCTCAGAAATGTGGCAAAACCTAAAACAAAAATTATGGCAAAATCTGGGAGGGGAAAAAAAGTGGCAAAATCCCAGAAAAAGGTGGCAAAACCTAAAAAAAAAAAAAAAAGGCAAAACTCCTCCTTGGAGTGAGCCCAGTTTAAAATGTGCCCTTGGGAATCTGGAAGCGGCTCCCAAAGGCGGGAATTTGGGTTTTTCCTGCCAAGGCAGGAATTTCCTGTGTGATTCACCAGCCTCAGTCGGGTTTTAGGGATTGTAGGAAAAAAATTCCAGGTGAAGTCGGGTGCTGCTCACGGTGAGCCTCGCCCGGTGCGGGGTTTTATCCGTTAAAAATGTGGATTTGGGTGGGAATCCAGCTGGAAATGTTGGTGTTGAGCCCCCAGAGGTGTTGGAGGTGTGAAATGGGATTGACCCGGAGTTTGTGGTGGGAATACTGATCCAGTGTTGGGATTGGAGGAACATGAAGGAAAACGGGATTTATCCAAGGTTTGTGACAGGAATCCAAACCAAATTTTGGGATTGGAGAGGAGGAAAGTGAAGGAAAATGGGATTTATCCAGAATCTGTGGCAGGAATCTCAACCTAATGTTGGGATTGGAGGAGCATGAAGGAAAATGGGATTTATCCAGAGCTCGTGGCAGGAATCCCAAATTTTGGGATTGCAGGAATATAAAAGAAAACGGGATTTATCCAGAGTTTGTGATGGGAATCCAACCCCAATTTTGGGATTGCAGGACCATGAAGGAAAATGGGATTTATCTAGTTTGGCAGGAATCCCGATCCAATATTGGGATTGGAAAGGAGAAACACGAAGGAAAACGGGATTTATCCAGAGCTTGTGGCAGGAATCCCATTTTTTGGGATTGGAGGAACATGAAGGCAAATGGATTTATCCAGAATTTGTGGCAGGAATCCTGATCCAATACCGG